TGTGAGGTACATCAGGATGAGAAAAAGTGACTCGAGATCATCCCAGTGTACTTCCATGGCAGAGCGGGGACCCAAACCTGGATCTCCCAGATACTAGTCTGACACTCTCACCATTATACCACACTACCCTGGGGGCATACTGTAGAAGCCCAGAGCTGGACAATAGCTACAGGATCAAGTTGGGAATGGGAGTCATTTTTAATGTGCAAGCCTTGCTGCTGTCGGTGTTAGGCTTAGGAAGGGACAGGCGCTTCATTTTAATCCAATGCTTTCCATCCAGCGGGTGGTTTTCTTTAAAATGCATTTAGGTAGGCGTCCCAATTTAGCTTCTGCTATAGATTGTTCTCTGGCACTGCGGTGGCTCAAGTGGTTAAGACACTGAACTGCAGGCTGTGGAAGGTCGGTAGTTCAGCAGTTTGAGACCCGAGTGTGCCGCATGACAGGGTGAGCTCCCGTCTCTAGTTCCAGCTCCTGCCAACCTAGCAGTTCGAAAGCAAGAAATTGCAAGTAGATAAATAGGTACCACTTCGGTGGGAAGGTAACAGTGTTCCGTGCGCCTTGGTGTTTAGTCATGCTGGCCACATGACCACGGAAACGTCCTCGGACAGCGCTAGCTCTTCGGCTTTGAAACGGAGATGAGCACCGCAACCCTAGAGTCGGATTCGACTGGCTTTCGAGCAAGGGAACCTTTACCTTTACCTATAGATTGTTCTTCAGAAAAGCTGGTATAGAGTTTGAAATCCTTCCAGTGATCAACACATGACTGGCTCAGTGCCAGATGAACTGGGGAGTCCCCCAAAAGGGAAACACACACCTGAACACTTGACCCAGGGAGAAAAAAAAAACCTTAGGAAGAACAAACAAGCTAGAAGGGAAATTAAAATAGGATGAAATAAAACTCTGTACAGAGAAGCCTGTGTTTACATTGGCAGGTCTTTCGTCCAGAAGAAAAACAAGCTTGCTTATTGGGAGAGGATCTCGCCGATGCTATATTTGAAGGTGCCTAAGCCACTATTTCAAACACGGCATTCAATGAGTCTCTCTTCTGCCACTGCCCGTCCAAGAGAATCTCAGTGTCCCACCTTGGTTTGGCATTTTGCTAACTGGACAGAGAGGACAGGAACACGGGAATGCCAAGGATAACTGCATGAGGAACTAGAGGAGAAACTATTGATTAAGTTGACCTGGGATACCAGGGAGATGAGTCCAAGCATAGAACTATTTGGGAGGAGGGGGGAAACCAGCGATTAGGACTGTGGGTGCAGAGATGTGGGTGGAAATATGCTTGGGGCAATGGCAGCAAGCCAAACTGCGTATTTGGGGCAGTGAAGAAATCAGGGCTTTCAGCTTCCTCTGAGTAAGAGCCAACATCTTTTGAAAAGAGCAATGCACAACTTTGGACAACATTCTATGACCTCACCCTCCCCTCCAGTTAACAGCTTCATCACACTGGCAACAAAGCCAGAGGATAGCTTTCAGCCATGGCTATGTGTATTTGCACAGCTGCATTACATGGTCACAGAATATAGCATTTGGCAAACCACATTCTGAGAATTTCAGCTTTCAGTATTTTAGAGTTCCAAGTTGCGGTATCCTGTAGAACTCTGCACTACAATGCAAATACAAGCCATTAAGTACATTGACTTAGTTTGCATTATGTATACACATCAGAGAATCCCATGCTCAGAAAACAGACTCCTGCTCATGGCAGACAAGAGAATCTGCTACTCACAGTTGCTATAGTACCAATGCAGCCTTTGAGATTCCACCATTCTCCCCTTATTTCTCCAGTGCTGTGTATGAATGTCATCTCCAGTTCTGGGCATGACAAAGTAGTCCTGATGCTACTGTTCCTGACAAGATTACCATACACAGAGGGGTGCAGAGATCAGCAGGATTTTATTTAAATACCATTGGACCTAGAAGGGTATTGGGTTCATAGATCTGCTCAGCTCATTGGCTTGAACAAGCCCTCTGTACTACTTATCTGAGGAAGGAAAAGCTTCCACTGGAATAAATCTGGTCCATCTCTAATGTGCCCCTGGACTCCAGCTTTATTCTCTCTTTGCTGCAACTGCCCTTCTTTGAAACTGTAACCCATAACAACCCTTTGGAAACAAAGCCAGGGAAGAACAGTCAAGTGGATAAGTCAAAAAGTGCTGCGTGAGCACCCTTTTATACCTGGGCAGGTCTACACACCCTTGGGGTGGTGGTTAGAGTTTCGGACTAGGATCTGGGAGACCCGGGTTCGAATCCCCACTCTGCCATGGAAGCTGACTAAGTGATCTTGGGCCTGTTAGTCTGTCTCAGGCTGACCTTATATCACAGGGTGGTCAGAAGAGGGAAGAACGATGTAAGCTGCTGCAGGCCTCCAGTAGGGAGAAAAGCAGAGTATAAGTATTTAAATAACCCAGTCGCTGCAAGCTACATGTTTCCAAGCACTGCCAAGAGTATCCCTGAAGGTCTGTGTCCAGACCACAAAAGCGGGGGGGGGGGGGGGGAAGGCGG